CCCATCCCACCAGCACCTCCCTCTCCTGGTGAGCCTCCACTTGAGGCCCATTATCTAGTGGGAAGTACTTAGTCTGTTTTGCCAGGACAGGTGCTATGAAGTGGATTTGGAGCGGTCAGCTGATGACTGACACAAGCTGTTATCAGCCAGTAGAACAGTTCTACAGGAGTCTGATAACAAGCAGTTAAAGCTTTGTGAGTCATGTTGTCTCTGTCAAAACTATTGATGTTGGCCACTGTTGTACAAAAGCAGTGCAGACAAGATGTAAGCAAATGAGCATGGCTGTGCTCCAGTGAGACCTGATTTACAAAAACTCGGGTTGGCACAGAACCAGCCAGCTCCTGACGTGGAACCTCTGAGTGCAGAAAAATACAACAAGACAAAAACCTCTTCTCGAAAAGAGGGGCAGATTTTGAGGGGGAACAGAGCCGAGCAGAAGAGGGAGGCCCAACAAAAGGAACTTAGGGGCTTTGTTGGTTGCTTGCTTCTGAGCTGGGATCCTACAGACTCATACCCTTAAGCCTCCTGCCTCGACCTCCTGAGTTCTGGGATTATGAACACACCTGGCAGCAAAAGAAATTTAAATGAAGATAATAACGTGTACACTGAATGGTGGGTTTTGTTTTGCTTTAGTCTAAATTAATGAGCTACTGCATTAAAAGAACCCAATAAACTATCTTTAAGGACTGATGTATGGCAAAATAAATCTGTATTTCAGAAGATAAAACTCAGAGAGGTTAAAAAAAACTTGTCAAAGACCTAGAGAGATGGCTTGGGGTACAACTGTCTGTAACTCCAGTTTCAGAGGGTCTGATGCTCTTTTCTGACCTCTGTAGGTACACACACACACACACACACACCCCACATATTCACACACATAACATAAATAAAAAGGATTTTTTAAATTGCCTGAAATAATACAGCCTTTCCACTGTGGACAGGTGGGTGTTGCTTTCTTTACCACGTGTCACAATGAAATTGGGTGTAACATCCTGATCTTTGGGAGGTGGGGAATTTCCCTGTGATGGACATCAGCCCTTCACCTCTGTGTAATCCCAGTACTTGGAAGATAGAGTCAGGAGGATCAGGAGTTCTAGGGTAACTCTCAGCCAATTCAAGGATAATTTGGAATATGTGTGTGTGTGTGTGTATGTGTGTGTGTGTATGTGTGTGTGTATGTGTGTGTGTGTGTATGTGTGTGTATGTGTGTATGTGTGTGTGTATGTATGTGTGTGTATGTGTGTGTATGTGTGTGTATGTGTGTATGTGTGTATGTGTGTGTGTGTATACTCTATTAGTATGACCATATCTAGTTTATCAAAATTATCAAAATAAATGACACCACTGCTCACTGAAAATGTTTGCTTTTATACTTTACATATAGTCTTTCTAGTTCTGTGCGATAATTTAAGGGGATTCTCTGTAAAGAGGAAAACCCAGATATGCACTTGTTGACTTGCCCACTCCACTCATCACTTCCTGAATCTACATCTCTCCAGATACAGAGTTTAAAGTGGAAGTACAAATTATGGCATTCAGGATTAGGAGAGCCTGGTCCAAATCCCAGCCCTACCTCTTACTAGCCATGTGGCCATGTGCTTCTTTTCTATTTTATGCTGCATATCCCATAAAGCCTTTTGTGGACTTTACTGCACGGATGTTTGTTGAGCAAACATCCTTGAACAATAGAGACAGTGGCTCCCTCCAGGTCAGAGGGAGGACTTCTTTGCCAGTCAGGATAACTAAAACAATGCCTCCTTTGGGACACAACAAGACCGTGTTTGCTATTAGCACTCATTAGTATCTCTTCACATTGCTATGGCCAAATATCTGATACAAGCAACTTAGGGAGAAATATTTATTTGGATTCCTGGCTTAAAAGGGGTATGGTTCATCGTGGTGGAAGACATGGTGACCGGTCACACTGTGTCCATAGTAAGAAGCAGAGGATACAAACATAAGGTGTTGGTGCTTAGCCCACATTCCCTTTCCCTGTTTCTTTTTGAGACGACAGGGTCTTTGTAATTCAGCACAGGCTTGCCTCCAAGTCCACATGGAGCTTAGGATAATCTTGATTTTTCTGATCTTTTTGCCTCCACCTCTTAGTGCTGGGATTATAGGTATGCACTACCATGTAGGGCTTTATATGGTGATGAAAATCAAGTCCAGGACTTTGTACATGCCAAGTAAGTATTTTAACAATGGAGCCACACCCCTGCCCCTCACTGCCTTCTTTCAAGACCATAGGATGATGCTCTCATATTCAGGCTGGGTCTTCCCTCCCCAGCTAAACCTAGAAATGACCTTATAGACACACCTAGAGGTATATCTCTAGGTGATTCTAAATCCAGTCAAGTTGATATGCAAATTAAGCATCACAGACCCCTTTAAAAATGCCTCCCTCATAATAGTATAAGCCCACTTTGTGTGTACTATCCACCTGATCCCACCCTGATCAAGAAAACGAACCCCATGTTCTCTCTGTACACGAGTAACAAAGTCCTTTGTTTCTGGCCCAGGATTATCATCAGGTCTTCTACCAGCATCTATGCACCACGGGGGCTAACTTGCTAGCTTGTGAGCATCTTAAAGTTCAAACCCTACAACTCCTAACATCATTGACCAAGAGTCATCAATACCACCCTCTTTCTCGACCACCGTTGAACTTTGGCATCTGCTCCCGGTACAACACGCTTGGATTTTTGCCATTGTGGCCCAGGCTGATGACCGTTAGTTTCTTTGGACATTCGATTCCAGAAGAAACCCATTTGGACTTCTGTAGCGTTAGTACTTGATGCACATTCTTCTGAGTTCTCTCCTCATACAGAAAGCACGTTCTCCTCCCATTCCTTATTGGTCTCATGCATGGGTCTGCTTTTTCTTTGAAATCCTATCAGAGATATCCTGTTATCAACCCGTCTTTCTTTTCTGAGTGATCTCACACATATTACTCATTTTAAGAATTGTCTTGGGCTGGAGAGATGGCTCAGTGGTTAAGAGCACTGACTGCTCTTCCAGAGGTCCTGAGTTCAATTACCAGCAACCGCATGGTGGCTCACAATGCCCTCTTCTTGTGTGTCTGAAGACAGTGACAGTGTACATACATACACACATGAAATAAATAAATTTTTGAAAAAATTGTCTTAGTGGGGGTTTCTATTGCTGTGATGTAATACCATGACCAAAAGCAATTTGGGATGGAAAGATTTTATTTCTGCTTACAGCTCTACATCACAGTTTTATCATTGAGGGAAGTCAGAGCAGGAACTCAAGGAAAGAGAAGATGCAGAGGCCTCGGAAGGCTGCTGCTGACTGGCTTGCTCCAAAAGGCTTACTCAGCCTGCTTTCTTACATGTCCCAGGATCACCTGGTCAGAGGTGAAACCACCCACAATGGGCGGGCACACCCACATTAATCGTTAGTTAAAAAAATGCTATACAGTCTTGCCCACAGAGCAGTCTGGGGGTGCATTTTCTCAGCTGAGGTTACCTCTTCTTAAATGATTCTGTGTCAAGTTGACAGGAAACTAGCCAGCACAGGAACCTTACATAGATGGTGACATCCTGGCTCTAGTTCCAGTCAAGACCTCTAATACAACTTAACCAGCCACCTGTTGAGGGGCAAGTGCCCAAAACTGGCATTCCATACCAGCTAATCTTCCTTTTCTGTGACAGAGAGAGAGAGAGAGAGAGAGAGAGAGAGAGAGAGAGAGAGAGAGAGAGAGAAAGAGAAACATCTCTCTATTCCAGGCAGCCATCTTTGATCCTTCACGTCACACACTAGAGCCAAGCTTTGAGTGTTGTTCCTTCCACTGTATTTCTGTATTTATAAAACTCACACTCCTCCCTCCCTACTTCTGCTCCCTTTCTGGTTCCAACACTCGCTGTGTTGGGTAACTGCAGTGCTCCCTTAACTGCTTCCTTAGTCTCTTGGGCCTTGCCCTGTTGGTGCTAGAGTTTTATTCCTAAAAAGTCTGTCTGTGGCATTTCCTTGTTCAAAACTTTCACTTTCAAAAACAAAAGAGTTACTTTCCCCTCCCGGTTTCCTTTGTTTGGGGGATTTTGTTTGCTTGTTTAGTTTCTCAATCTAGCCCTGGCTGTCCTGGAACTCTGTAGCTCAGGCTGGCCTGGAATTCACAGAGATGCACCTGCCTCTGCCTCAGCCTCCCGAGAGCTGGGATCAAAGGCATGTGCCACCACCAACCAGCCTTCCAGATTCTTTAACATCATAGTTCACCGCACTCTCTAAGGCGACATCTCCTCCTCGGAGGATTCTAATCTGGGATGTCTTGGGTCACTTCCACTCACGATGGAAGAGGTGGGATGAGGTGTCATCCAACAGCACCCATTTCATGACACCGATCAGATTCGTTATATGACACTAGCAACTCAGAAATAGCGGCGGCTGGTCATGCTGTCTCAAACCCATGTGTTTTTGTCGTTTTTTTTTTCTTGGTTTTTCGAGACAGGGTTTCTCTGTGGAGCCCTGGCTGTCCTGGAACTCACTCTGTAGACCAGGCTGGCCTCGAACTCAGAAATCCGCTTGCCTCTGCCTCCCAAGTGCTGGGATTAAAGGCATGCGCCACCACCGCCCAGCTTTGTCGTCTGTTTTCAGTTATTTAGGTTAGCAAACAAGGTAATGGCATCTTCATAATGTGTCATCTTAGCTTTCTTTAAATAATAAAATCACTATTTGGACCAGGTGCCGTATTTCTACCCAATTACTTGCTGACTTGTTGGTCTGCTTCTTAAGATCCCTTTGAGAAATACACTGAGTGACCCCCTTCATTTTACCCGCCTAAGGTGTCCAAAGACTAGGTTTCTGGTGATAATTGCTATGTCCACATCTCTCTGCATAGGTGTATTATGTATGTATGCATGCATATATTTATATGTGCATACATAAATGTGGAGTTACTGTATTTTTAATTGCTTTGTCGTCCTCTAAGCAAACAAATGAATACTCTCAAGTGGCCACCAGGAGGCGCCAGGAGCAGCGAAAGACCTGCGGTACCTTGGCGGTAGAGGTGGAGATGGATGCAGAGGCGAGAAGGAAGAACCCAGCTTCCTTTTTTAAGAATCAGTGTGAGCAAGGGAACAGAGCCACGTTATTTTAGGGAGACTTTGTCGCACTCCCCCTCCCCCGGGTAGGTAGCGTCTAGGATGTGTGCACCCTGTTCGTAATCTCCCATGGAGAGACGCTGGCTGCTGCAGCCGGCAGTAACCCGACCCCGCCGGCTCAGGGACTGAAGAGGCGCCGGGGACAGCAGCGAGAGGTGAACAAAAGCCCTCGGCAAGGGGGCCGGAGCCCGGACCTGGGGTAAGTGAACCCGCTCGGAGACCTAGCAGCTCCGGGTATGCAGCCGCAGGGTTTAAGGCGCTCTAAGAGCCCACTCCCCTGAGATGCGGTGCGGGAACTGGTGGGCATCAGGGGCTGGTGTCTGAGTCCACCATACTGGGATTGATGGTACATTTAACTGCACATTCAGCCTTGGAGATCGGGTGCATCTGGGAGGATTCAGGTGCTCTGTGCATCCTGGGCAAACACCGGGTGGGGGCTGGAGGAAGAGGCAGGCAGAGCTCCCAGCAAGCCCCGCTGGAGAGGCTGGAGAAAGAATCCATCACTCCATCCGGAGTAGCCTTTGGAGACTCTCCTCAGCCCTTCCATCTCCCAGGGGCCCCGAGCCCCGGGTCCTTTAGGCAGAGAGAAATCAACCATAAACTTCTTCCTAGGCAACTGGGGCCCTCGCAGCGATGCACTTTGGCATGCACAGGCCTCTTCCCCTTTTGTGTTCTTGCAAAGCTGCATCCCAGCAGCCCGCCTAAGCTACAAACAAATAGCTAATCCTCTCGGGAATCCTCCAGCGCCTCCCTCGCTGGCTGCAGCCTTCCTTGCGCTTCAATCTTTGCAGGAAGGGGATGCATCTAGCGGGCCTCACGCCAATGTGGTCTCCTGAAAGGCCCTGCATTCTAGGACTGAGGGAGGCTGAGGCTGCTGTCTGAAGCCCAGCGACCCCCCCTCACCCCAACTGCCCAGCCTGAGTTTTCGGGGCATCAGTTTTAGGATTTACGTTCGATCAGGCCCCTGAGCTTAATCTGAAATCCGATTAAGTTGGGAGAGGTAAATATGGCTGAAGAGGGAGAAATGGCTCACAGATCCTCTATGTCCCCCCGCCCCCCTGTCATCTCAGGGACTCCAACAAAGGACGAGGTTCAGCTATGGTGGACCCGGTGCCAGAAGAGGAGAAAGAGGGAGCGGAGCCCGGTGGCTCAGAAGGGGATGAGGCCACAGCGTCCGTGCCCCCCGATGCCCAGGGAGCCCAGCAGCCTGCTGCCTCCTCGGCCTCCGCCTCCGCGTCGGCGCCCCGAAAGGCTGAAGTCCCCTGCGGGGCAGAAGGTGGGCGTCGGGAGCAGTCTCCGTTGCTGCACCTCGATCTCTTCAACTTCGCCTGCCCCGAGGCAGAGGGCAGCCGCTACGTCCTGACCAGCCCCCGCTCGCTGGAGGCCTGTGCCCGCTGTGCGGTCAAGCCAGTGGAGCTGCTGCCTCGGGCCCTGGCCGACCTGGTGCGCGAGGCCCCGGGCCGCTCCATGCGCGTGGCCACCGGCCTGTACGAGGCCTACGAGGCGGAGCGCCTGGCCAAACTGCAGCAGTGCCGCGCCGAGCGCGAGCGCATCATGCGCGAGGAGAAGCGGCGCCTGTTCACGCCCAAGGGTCCGGCGGCAGCTCCGGCCTCGGCCTCAGCCTCGGCGTCGGCCTCGGCGCTGAGCGCGGGCAGCAGCAGCAGTTGCAGCAGCAGCAGCAGCCTCCCGGCCTCGCCCGCCTCGCGAGTTGCTCGAAGGACTTCTCCCAGTCCGCCCGCCAGGAGCCGGCCTCCGCCCGCGGGTTCTCGGACAGGTCGGAAGAGCCACTCGCTGGACTCGCTCTCCCGCCGGCGGGACGGTGCCCTGAGCTCCGAGTCCGGCGCCTCGTCGTCGTCCTTCAGCGGGGAGAGCCTTCGGGAGCTTCGCTGGCCACCTCGAGCTTCAGCCAGGAACAGCTGCCCCGCGGGCTCGGCGTCGTCTGCACCCAACCCGCTAGGCCGCCCTTCGGCCCTTGCTCTGGTTCCACTCACGGCCCGCAGCTTCAGCCTCGGGGACCTGAGCCACTCGCCGCAGACCGCTCAGCATGTGGAGCGCATCGTCCGCCAAGTGCGCGCCGAGCGAGGCCTGCGCGGGGTACCCGAGCGCGACCGGAAGATCGCCGCCCTCATGCTGGCCCGGCACCAGGAAGAGCGCCTGTTGCTGGAGCAGCGCGCCGCGGCCCACGGCCAGTGGGAGCAACAGCGCGTGCGCGCCGAGCAGCGGCGGGAGCGCGAGGAGCGCGAGAAGCAGCGCGCCCTGGAGCAGGGCCGGCGGGCTTGGGCGGCGCAGGTAGAGGAGCGGCGCGGCCGCCGGGGCCGGGAGGAGCGCGAGGCGGCGCGGAGACGGCAGCAGCAGTGCGAGCGCAGCGAGGAGCGCCGGCGGGAGCTGGCGGAGCGTCAGGGCCTGCTGCGGCGGGAACGGGTTGAACGCGCCGCGCGTGACGACCGGCTGCGCAAGCTGCAGCAGGAGCAGAACCTGAAGCAGAGGGAGGAGGGCCTGCAAGAGGGGCGGGAGCGCGCGGAGCTGGTCCGCAGGGAGCGCGCCCAGCGAGCGGCGCGCGCCAGACAGCGCCAAGAGGGCCAGCTGCAGCGCGAGAAGCGGGAGCTGAGCCGGGCCGAGCGGGCGCGCCACGAGGCGCTGCTTCGAGGCCGAGTCCGGCAGCAGCAGGAGGAGCGGGAGGGCCTGCGGAGCTCCCTGGAGGCCAGCTTGGGCCGTGCCCAAGAAAACTACGAGCAGCTGCAGGAGCAGCGCGCCCGGGAGCTGCGGGAGCGCGCGCGGAGAGAGGAGCTCCAGGGCCGGCGGGCGAAGGAAGCGGCCGAGCGCAAAGAGCGGGAGCATCAGGCTCACTTGGAGGCCCTGGCGCGGGCGGGAGAACGACGGCTGCAGCACGCGGCGCAGGTGGCCGAAGAGGCGATGCAGCAGAAGGCCCGGCGCGTGGTTCAGACTCGCCTGGAGAAGGAGAGGGCCCAGCGTGCCAACAAGGAGAAGGTGGAGAGAGACGAAGACTGCCGCCGCCGGGAACTGCTGCAGGCCATTGGGCGCAAGCTGGAGCGTAGCGAGCAGCTCTCTCGAGAACGGCGAAGTGCACTGGAGAGCGCTCGCTCCACGGCCCGGGCCTCCTTCCATGTGCGGGAGAAGGTGCGGGAGGAGACCAACACGCGCTCTTTTGATCGCATGGTGCGAGAGGCCCAGCTACATGCCAGCCTGGACCGCAAATGACAGCTGCCCTGTGCAAGCCATGCTGCTCTATCTAGCCCCGTGTGGCCTCCCTTAGTCTCTTTGACCAAACTCCAGGCATCTCCAATCCGGGTTGCCACACCATGAACTCTCCAGACTAATGAACCGTCAGGCACTGAGAAACCAGACATGGTATTTTTCCATCTGCCACCATTGTTTTACAGACTTTGCTTGGAAATGACATGGCACAGTCTACCCACATCCACTTGTGACTTCGGGTTGGAATAGAAAGTTAGCTGGAAGAGAGAGGGTCCCCGTAGGAGAGAGCACAGCGGCCAACGTGGGGCTCTCTGCCACAGCTGCCTTGGGCATCTTTCTAGCATTTGTGTCCAAGACGATTTAAGTTGCAGCAGCTGAGGGGATATCTCCCAGACTCACCTTTATCTTTGAAAATACAAGTTGCACAGAACTTGAAAGTTTCCCAAGAAAGCACAGCTCTTCTAAGACGTTAGTTCATGCACAAGCGACTACAAAAGCTATTGCTGGACTATTAATTGGACATGTGAACAAATTATCCTGTTCCCATAATATTTTCAGTTGAGTCCCTAGGCTTTCTAGTTAGACAATCATCTACAGATAGTAATCACTTATTCTCCCAAGTGGTGTAGGGAGCGGGTTGGATCGGTGATGTTGTTTAGCTTTAATGGAAGCCCTCCATCCTCCATCTCCCTGGAGGTGATGTTTTCCTTAGGCCGCAGTGTTCCACATGAGGCTTCCATGGAAGGTGATATATTTCAGTGGAGGCAGTGTCTGATGCCCACTTCCCTGTGTGGGGCCAGCTCCTGCAGACAGAAGCCATTGCCTTATGAAGCAGAGCTACCTTCTGTGCCTGCCCAGGCCACTCTTGCCTAAAGCTCCAGCCTTGAATGCAGTCTGGAGGGTGAGCCCTGGAGTGTGTAGGATTCCCTCTGTGACTTAGTTCAGTCCTCTGAGGACAATTTAGGATCCTTGGCTGCTTGCCTGTGGTAGCTGAAGGGTTAGAATTGCCTCTGTGTTGAGCTGTGCTATTGTTGGTAGGGTATCTCTCATCCCTGGGGTGGGGCAGGGAAAAGGAGTCTTCCCGCTTTAAATTCCTGGTACCCCCTCACTTATACCTGAAGTATTTAATCAGTCTCTTGGTGCCTCACCTTTCCCATCTGCTAGATGGGGCCATCAGAACTCTTCTGGTACCTCAAGGTCTCCTGGATCCAAAGCATTACTTCAGTGTTATTTGTTGGTCTCCTTTGTGCCTTTCTTGACCTGGAGTTGGGAGGCAGGAGGACTGCTATTAGCCTAGTTTGTTTCTGGTAATATGGATTGCTGGCATTAGACAGAGCAGTGCATCACTGACAGATGGCCATTTAGCATCCAAGGTGTGTGTGAGGTGGGGAGGGGTACTTGTAATACCAAGCCCTTCCCTGGTCAGAAGGTTCAGTTATCACTCAGCAATTTTAACCCGTAGAATGCTCCTTCCCCCACTCAGATCACCTATCAGCTGTCTCCACCAGGGAAGGTGGAAAGACAGCCATCTTCTTTTACATCAAGGTCAGGAAGTAAAGACCTTACCAAAAAGAAAGGAATCAGGGTAGAGGTGTACCGCGTTAGATGTGTTTTTGTGTCTACTCTGCTGGCAGAATCATCCCTAAAATGACTGGCTATTGTCCACATCCCTCATTGACCCTACCCCATCACACACTTAGAGGAGTCTCGTGTAGAAGAAAGCTGTGTTTAGGTGTCACGTGTGAGATAATGTGGAACCAGGAAAGGAACTATATACCAAGGCTTGCTTCTTGAGCGGGTGGGTTCTCCCTTAAATTTCCTTGTCGGTGAGCTGTAATAACTGGTGTTGTCTCTGAGACAGGAGCCTTTAACTAAAAGGTTAATGTGATTACTGTCCTTTGATCTTGTGGTCCTGGATTGCTTCCGAAACCTCCATGGAAAGCTCCACTCTTAAGAGTCCTTATTTCAAAGTGTGAGCATTTGCTTGAGGAGGCAACCTGGTGTTCTGAACCAAGCACTGCAAAGCACATGGGCAGTCTCACATGGCGACCTCACCTGGCCTCTTACCCAGGGTGCTCCCCACCTTACTGGGTGACTTCAGGTTGATCACCTTTCTTAGTTCCCACAGGTGAAGAACTGAGATCATGGTTCCTGAGCTTTGTTTTGTGCAAACTGAGAATGACAGTGACATTTTCTGTTTCTATCATCCTGGAACTGCAGGTGCACTTGCTGTCCACAGGGTTACATGGCTCCTGTGCCCTACTGTACAGAGTAATGTACCATCTCGATTTGGTGCAGAAGGAACAGTCTTGAGACGCTCATTCAAATCCTGAGACACTGTGAAGGCCCAGGCCTGAATGTTGCCAAATTAGACGCTGAGAGAACCACTATGTAAAGATACAGAGAGTTTAGATTTTTACCAAAAAGTCCATATAGCCAAGTATAATTAAAACAAAAGCAAAATTTAGACCTAGTGACAGTGAGAAATGGTACCTTCAAGTTCCAGACCATCTACTAGGCTACTCTGCTGGGACAGAGCAGAGATGATGGATGGACAACTACTAAAGTTGGACATGGTGATTCACATCTCTAGTCCTAACCCTGAGGATGCTGAAGTAGATGGATAGTTATATGGAGTCAGCCCGAACCAGGTAGCGAGGCACTGTCAAGACAAAACAAACAAAAAATGGAAGGAGAACCACCTGTATATTCTAAAGAAATGTTTGTTGTTTCTCTCTAAAGATAATGAATGTCCAAAGTCTCTTTTGGGCCCCTAATTTAAATTTCCACAGAAGAGAAGTTTTATTTTACTCTGACATGCAGCCAGAGGACACTGGGACAGAGCAGAGATGATGGATGGAGAACTATCTCCAAACAGCATTCTAACAGGTGTCCAGAATTGAGTGTGCTGGAAATTTCTTGCCGTCTAGGAGATCCCAACCTTGATCACATTTACTCTTTTGGGACATTTGCTACTTCAAGAGAGAGAGTGTGTGAAGTAATATGAGAGGGGATGGGAAGGTTGGAAAAGCTTTGATTCAGTTGAATACCAAGAAAACAAGCTGAAACCATTCCAGAAGAAATTATCAATGAAGCTAGTCCAACGTTCTGCTGTGGCAGGGACACGAGTCTACACCCATCTGGACAGGAGAATGGAAATTTCCTTTTTGGAAGCATGCAGGCTGCGTTTCAATGGAGCAGTAACCAGGATTTGCCAAAGGCAAAAGGTTTGCAGGGTAGTGAAGACAGAGGAACGTCTTGGTCTGTTTTATGTTGCTCTAACATAATACCCAAGGCTAAGTTAAAAATAAAAGAGATTTGTTGCTGATAGTTCTGGAGGTCTAAGAACATGTTGCCAGCATCTGCTTGCCTTCTGATATTGACGTCAGGGGGACATCACATTTCAGAGGCACCTGGGGAAGGTTTTACACGTAAGAGAAGAAGCAAGAGACAGGAGAAGCCAGGCACACTAGTATGTCAACCCACTCTTAAAGGAACTTATCCACTCCCACAAGACCCAGCCCATTCTGCAAGACCAGCATTACATCCATGATGTAATTACCTTTCATTAGGCCCCACCTCTTAGAGGTCCCACCACCTCAATACTATCATCATGCCAACCAAGACCCTAGCACATGAAGTGTCTGAGGGGCAAACAGTATCCAAGGTATAGCAATGAAAATGTAGTCTGTATTCTGGATATTATTTAGCCTTCTACAGTCTCCCTCCATTACACAGTCCTTTGAGACAGATGCAACTCTGTAGAGGGGCTACATCTTACCATCAAATCCCCTGTAGCCCATGGTATAGAATCTCACCTAGATAAGTACATAAATATTGGATGGAGAGGAGGCTGGGGTGTGTGGATGAATGGTGACCAGAGAAAATCTGAATAGAACAGTTTGTTTATGCAGTCAGCAATTCATTCAGTCAACACATCTTCACATACTACATGACAAATACTCTTCTGTTTGTTTGTTTGTTTGTTTGTTTTTTGAGATAGGATCTTTCTGTGTAGCCATGGCTGTCCTGGAACTCACACTGTAGACCAGGCTGACCTCAGACTCTGGGATCCACCTGTCTCTACCTTCTAAGTGCTAGGATTAAAGAAGAACACCACCACTCCTGACCCCAAATACTACTCATGATGTTGGTGAATTGAATCTCTTGGGTTTCTGACTTTAGGGGTGATTTGTGCTACAATGTCATAAACATGTCTTTGTTTCCCCCACTGGGCTTGCCTACCTTCCCACCTGGACATACACATTCTCAGGTAGCCATAATTGTCCCACAAGGCACTAACCTCAAGCCACTTTTGTCTCTTAGAGACAAGCCATCTGGCAGTCAGCCATCATAGAGTCAGTGTTGCTATTTTTCCTTCATGAAAGGCTTGATTAATTGGGCCAAATTTATAATGCCATATCCTTAAAATTATGTGGCATGGGAGAGAGAAAGATTAAGAATACCACCTTCCAGGGTGTTATAGGTCATTTTAGAGAGGAGGTATAAATAATCATTGCGGATCCAGAAGACCAAACCTTAGGCCCTACAGAGTCCCAGTTGACCAAATGGGGTGTCTGCTCCATCATTCAGCTGTTCTTGCTAAGATAGTCAACATTTCAGAAATATTTCCAATGTAAAAGTTCCCCCAAAGAGATTTCCAGTTAGGTCTAAATTGATGAGAAAATTAAAAATATCCCACTCCTAGAAACCTGACTAAAAGCATCCAGTCAGCTGAGCATAGTGGTACATTGCCTTTAATCTCAGCACTCATGAGGTGGAAGAAGGTGAATGTCTGTGAGTTCAAGGGCAGCCTGGTCTACAGAGGGAGTAACAGGAAAGCCAGGACTGTTACACAGAGCAACCCTGTCTCAAACAAACAAACAAACAAACAAACAAAACAAACCCTCACTTTGCCCAAAGGTTGCTAGGTAGACTTGCCTTTTCGCACTGTGTAACTACAGCTCTATCTTTATGTCTTAGAGAAGCTTGGCAGGACCGTAAAGAAACGGGTGTTGGTAAATGTGTTTGTGCTTTTTAGATAGAGTCTCTGTGTATTCTAGGCTAGTCCTCATCTTGCTATCCTCCTGACCAAGCACCCAAGACCCAGGATTAAAGGCAGCATTGCCCAGTAATACTCTGTATCACTTGACATAGCTTGGAAAGGAAACTCTTAGAGACCAGCAGCAGACATCTCTAGGTTCTAGAACTGTTAGTTATGCTATGTGGTGCCTGACTTTGCAAGTCTGGAGTAGCACCTAAGTATTACAACTGGTCCTGGCCTGGTTATGAGTGTCTCCACAGAAGGACACTTCGTTGACTCAAAACTCTCCAGCATTCTCTCTACATGCACATCCTCCTGCCTTTTGCCCCCCAACACCAGTTTGCCCCCAGTCCTTCACAGCTACCCCTGATGCTGCTTGGCTTCTAATAGGTCAGGGCTAGTACAGGCAAGGGGTACTAGGATGTTAGGGACATAGGACATTTTCTTCCGAAGATCACTGACCACGTAGTCATTTGCAGTTATTGCTCCCTGACTCATCATGTGCAGTCATGGCCCTTGAGGTGACAAAAGCCCTTCCCATTCATCACGTACACTCACATCCCTCGTGAGCAGGAATACCAGTCCCATGTGATTTTCCAATCATCTGCCACTTTGAGCTGCTTGTATCTTTCTTCCCCTCCACTGACACAGTATGGATAGCGTGTTTTTATCTCTGACTCTTTCACAATTCACAGGACTGTCAGGAAGAAGATGAGTCATATCTATTGCATTCAGCACACCTGTCGGTGCACCAACCCTAACAAGCCTACTGTTGGGGTCTAAAGTCGGAGGTAACTTGTGGCTCTCATGTTCTCCCAGAGAGCAGTAAGTTATTTCTTGGGGAAACCAAGAAATTCTATTCTTTGGGGTGTGTGTGGGTGGGGGTTATTGTTTTCACCTTCTTCTAGTGGGCAAAAGGATTCCATCTCAAGACCGCTTCAGAATCTGGTCTGTTAAGTGGTATCTGCACTTTCCAGGGCCTCTGCTGAGCTTCCTGGATGACTAAGACTTTTCAGGTTGTACTAATAAGCCCCACCGTCCCAGTAGTGTGTTCCTTCACTTATGCGAGAGATTGAGTGGGAGATGGAATTTAGGTGTCCTTCTGTTGACATTTGAGACCATCTGAGACAATGAATGGCGTTCATAACGCTGTGAAAATCCACTCCACATGACTGTCACACTTTCAGAGCAAGGGATTTGCCAAAGGAGCAAGTGTCTTGGCTCCTTCCGACCAATCCAGCACTCCCCCACCTGCCCCTTTGTTTTGTGTTAAATGGAGACATAGATCCTACTTGGTAGGAAGTTGTTAAAATGGTTCTTGCTTTAAAAGCTCTCGAAAACAGCTCTCAATTAGTGGACAGTTTTGGCTGATCTTAGGGTGTGGTAAAGAAAGGAATCAGAGTAGGTTGAGTTTATGCTGGGTACAAGGTGTGTGTGTGTGGGGGGGTCCATATTTGGATGGTATCTTTTCTGGGATTGTCTGTGTCAATCACTGTGTGGCAAGACCCCAAATCTCAAAGGAAGGGGAATAATGTTTCCACTGGGGCTATGTATTAGTCTCAGGTGGGCTAAGGGTAGGAGGGGGTATGTTTTTTGTTTGTTTTTTGTTTTTGTTATTTGTTTGTTTTAACAACTTACCTTGTTAGGCAGTAAAGTTGACATGGACAGTAATTTTGAAATTTGTGTTTTATGGATGTACATTGATCCACAGAGATACTAGGCCTAGCAGATGGGCTGGCCTGGGCTGGCCCTGGCCGTGCATTAGACATGAAGATGAAGAATGAGGCAAACTCCTTTGTCATTTTTCATCTGTTCTTGGATATCCTAAGAAGGAAGCCCCAGGGGAT